TTTCACTTAGCCTAATGCCTCCAATTCACATTGTAGCATGTGTGAGAATAGACTTCCTTTTGTGGCTGAACAATATTCCATTGTATGTGTTTTTCACATTTAGTTAATCCTTCCATCTGTTGATGGACCCTTGCATGGCTTCCACCTTTTTGTTATTGTGAATAATGCTGCTAAGTACATCAGTGTACAGATACCTATTCAAGTTCCTGCTTTCCATTCTTTGGGTACACACCCATAAAATGAAATGATGACCATATAATAATTCTATTTTTAATGTTTTGAGAAACTGCCAGACTATTTTCTACAACAGATGCACCATTTACCATCAAGAGCAAAGCACAGGAGTTCCACTTTCTCCACAACCTTGCTAGCAACTGCTATTTCCTCCTTTTCTTTCCTTAAATAGCCACCCTAATGGGTGGGAAGGGTATCTCATGGTGTGGTTGTAATTTGCATTTCCTTCATATTAGCAATGCTGATCATGTTTTCGTGTGTTATTTGGCATTTGTATGTCTCTGGAGAAATGTCTATGAAATCCTTAGCAAATTTTTCTTTTTCCTTTTTCTCCAGAAAGCCCCCCGGTACATAGTTGTATATTCTTTGTTGTGGGTCTTTCTAGTTGTGGCATGTGGGACACTGCCTCAGCGTGGTTTGATGAGCAGTGCCATGTCCACGCCCAGGGTTCGAACCAACGAAACACTGGGCCACCTGCAGCGGAGTGCGCGAACTTAACCACTCGGCCACGGGGCCAGCCCCTCCTTAGCAAATTTTTATAGAGGCGTGTTTGGTTTTTTTGTTGTTGAGTAGCAGGTTTTTAAAATATACATAAAACAGATCCTTTATTGGTTTGTTTACTTATGTTTTATTTTGAGAGTATTTGATATATTCTAGATACACTCTAGATATATTCTAGGCCTCCATCAGCTACGTATTTGCAGGTAATTTCTCCCAATCTGTAGCTTTTAGTCTCTCCATTGCAGCTTTTAAAGAATAACAGGCACCCATTCCCCAGGATGTGTGTCACCCATGAGATTGATACCTACCCTGATATCAGTTTCCCCACATTAAACCCAGCATATATGGGGTTAAAACCAAAACACTCATTCCTTGCTTACTCTCTGGCTTCCTGTCTCCAGAATCCACTATTCTCCATGGAGACAGACACCGTCAAGGACAAGATCCTGGATTATCTCCTCCCCACAAAGAGATGCAGACTGGTGGGAAAGCTGCTGACCAGCAAGGTCACAGACTTCCTCCTCTCTGCAAGTGTCTCCAGGCCAAAGACAGGCTGGTGGGAAAGCTCCGACCAGCAAGGCCATATGTTCCCCCTCCCCTACCTAAAACTCCAAATGAAAACCCTTCCTTTTAGCTTTTTGGGGAGTTTGGGATTTGAGCTTTAGCTGCCCTCTCTCCTTGCTCAGCGCTGTGCAAAAATAAAATTCCTACTTTCTTCCACCACACCTGGTGTCAGAGATTGGCTTGCTGCGCAACGAGTGAATGAACTCACTTCAGGTTCGATAACAAGATGACCCACTAGTGTGTCAGAATGTGGAAGAGCAGAGCAAAGAAGATTAAGGGGAGAAGTTCTGAAGGGCAGATGGGGGAATTCAGGGTGTAAAAGGTCACATGAGAAATGTAACCACTCAAAGATACCCAGGTCTTAATCCCTGGACCACGTAAAGCTTCCCCTGTAAGGAAGAAAGTTCTTTGCAGGTGTGATTAAGGTAAGGATTTTGTCCTGTGGAGATGATCCTAGCTAGTCTGGGTTGGTCCTTAAATCTAGTCCCAAGTGTCCTTCTAAGAGACAAGCAGAAGGTGATGTTCTACACACAGAGGACCATGAGCCACATGACCACAGGGACAGAGCAATGTGCTAGTCAAGGAATGCCAGCAGCACAATCATCTGGGAGAAGCAAGAGGTGGATTCTCTCCTTGTGCCTCTAACGGAGTGCATCCTACAAACTTCTTGATTTCTGCCAAGTAAAACTGATTTTGGATGATGTGGTTCAGGATATCCTCCCTCAAGTTGTGGCACCTTTGAATATTGACTGTTTCAAGTTGGAGGAATTGCATGTGCAGTAAGGACTTTCTGATCTTCTCTTGAAGCGGGTCATACACCCTCACTGAGAGGTGCCCTCACTGTACCTGGAGGAGAGGAACATCTTATCTCCTAAGATTAAGGGACACAGAGAGGAATATGAAGAAACAGGCCTTGCTAATTTTCCCCCAGTTTACTGCACTTAGGTCACACTCTTTGTCCTATCATATCTCTGCACGATTTTCCACTTTGCATCAAATCTAGCAGGAAAATACTCATGTTTAGCCCTTAACTCAAGTCCTCATTTCCGTAAGAAGGATCCTGTGCCACATTAAACTTACGTTAAATATAATTGTATGTATTCTTCTTCTGATATGTTTTGTCTTAGGTGGATCTCAGCTGGGAACTTACAAGGACAGAGAGAAAATATTTTTCCTCCCCTCCACGGATTTCTGGCCTCCTGCACTATGAGAAAATATATTCCTTATGTTTTAAGACATCGAGTATGTAGTTATTTGTGAGAGTTGCCCCAGAGAGCTAATAAAGGTAGGAAATCAGAGAGATGCTGTCTCCAGGGAGAATTCAGAGAATAACAGAGAAAAGCCCTCCTTCACTGACCCATTCCCCTGTTCCTTTTTGCAGCCAAACTCCTCCAAGTGTTGTCTGTACCCTCTCTTCCCATCTCCCCTCCTCCAATTCTCTCCTGAACTTGCTCAAACCAAGTTTTTACCCCTTTTCCGCCTCTGCATTAAACCTGCTGTTTTGGGATGTGTTTGGGATGTGGATGGGCAAATGTGTTCCCTTGTGTCCTTTTCTTCTGTGTGCTATCTGTCCCTTTTTACCTCATCTGTTGTCATCACTTACATGGATCTATATCCTCACATCTCCAGCGAGAACCCCTGTCCTGATCTCCAGACATTCACATCCACCTCTCTTGCTGATGTCCCCAGTTAGATGTCAAGTGGCTTCTCAGAATAAACATCCCCCTTCCGAACTCTACTCTCTGGTGTCCTTCCAGTTGCTCAGGAGAAACATTTGGGCATCATCCTTGCTCCTCTCTCTCCCTCACTCCTCACATCTATTATGAAACCCTGCTACTTCCGTCTTCGTAATACATCTAAACATAAACCCTCACTCTCCACCTCACTCCCTGGTTCAAGTCGCCATCACCTCCTGCCTAGAGAACTCAGCAGTCCTGTCCCAGTCTCTGAGCTGCTGCTGTGGACCCACTCTGGCCTTTTCTGAACAGAGCTCACTGGGGATCCTGTGAAAATGAAAGTTCAATCACACCCTCCATGGCTTTCAGATTCTTGCATTTCCTGCAGGACCTCACAGCCTCTGCCGCAGCACATGGTCTGCACCATCCTCCCAGCTTCTCCCCTCTTTATACCTCCCTCCGCTGTCAAACTTCCTCTTGTTTCCCCAACACACCAGGCGAGCTTCTACCTCGTGCTCTTCCACTCACTGTCTTCTCTCTTCCATTTTCCTGGGATTATTTTCTCTCAGGCAAACACAGAATCTAGTTTCTTACCATCTTAAGTCTTTGCTCCAACATCACTCCTCACACTCTCAGATGTAGAAAATTCTCCCCAAGATGTCATGGGCTCCTTTCCCTTCATGATTTTTCTTCAAACACACATTGCCATCCAACATGCTCTAATATTATTTCTAATTTTATTTCTTTTGATTTCTATCCTTTTTGTCTCCAGAATGACAGTCTTTTGACAGGGATTTTGGATGCTGTGTTCACCAATGCACCCCCAGCACCTACAACAATGCTGGCACATAGTAGGTCTTCTGTAATACTCGCTCAGGAGTTTATAAATAAATGATTGAATCTTACTCTGCTCAGAACCAAGGAATGATACACACACACACACCTGGTTGGCATGTAAGACTGAGCCCGAGGGATAAGCAGGACTTTGAGAGGCTGGAAGAGGGAGGGAAGGGCATTTCAGGAGGAGGAACTGTACATGCAAAGTCAGAGTCACAGAGGCCCTGACTCGGCTGGGGGTGGAGACATTGCCAGATGCAGGAAGAGGGAGGAATCTAGCGGAGAGTCCAGCAGAGGACAGACACACCAAGCCTTCAAATCCAGCCTGTAGGCTTGGCCCCTTGGTCTCTGGCCATGGAGAGTACGTGTAGTTGTTCATACTCTGCAGGATGTGGACGATGACGTTCTCTGGAAACACAGTCTGGAGGCCTGTGTTGAGGAGAGAGATGAGGGCAAGAGATGAAGTGGGTTCAGAGGTGCAGGGAAGAGATGAGGCCCCAGGAACAACCAGATCAGAATGGGGAGAAGATGGGCAGCAAGATGAGTTGTGTAGGAGGAAGGAGAACAAGACTTATGGATGGGTGGATCGGGGAGAAAGGAAGGAGGTACAGCGGAGAACCACACCCCAATTCTGGCCTTAGCAATGGGGCCATGGTTTCATGATTGTGATGGGGAACCTAGCAGAGAAATTGGTTTAGGGAGGAAACTGGAAGCTCCACTTTGTCCATGCTGAGTGTAGCAATCCTGGGGGCCAATCTTGGGGAGGTGTGCGATGGGATACTGGATGGTGAGACACCCACTTCGCTTACCTGAGGGGTTAACCTAGGATGGTGTTTGCATCCTCCATGCCCCCAGCAGGCCTCACCACCTTCCTCCTGTAGGAACTCATTCTGAGAGAAGAGACCAGGGCCTTTCAGTCTAGTCAGATGGTGGTACAGCTGGCAGCTGGCTCACCCCTTCTTCTCAGTTCAGGGTCTGGGGAGGTGACTGAGGTGGGAGAGGGCAGCTCTGTGGCACATGGGTACCTGCCATCCTGGACACTTGGTGGGTGGGGCACTGTGGCTGTCCCTGTGGATCCTCTACCCCCACCCCGCTTCCTGACCCGCTGGGCCCCACAGTCACTGGTTCTGGGACTCAGCCACGTGCCCCCTGCCCTCCCCACACCTCCCTTTCCCCCTGGCACAATGCTCACATGAGTAAGATGAGGAGGAGGAGCAGGGTCTTCACAGTCACTTCCACAATGGCCACCAGAACCACCTCTGCCACGGGCCCTGATCTCCCTGAGGGAAAGTGGGATGAGGATGGCTGGGGAGGGGAGTATGGAGAGTGACTGCTTCATGGGCACAGGGCTTCTCTTTGGGGTGATGAAAATGTTAGATGGATGGAATTAGATAGTGGTGATCGTTAGGCAACAGTGTGAATGTACTAAAAGCCAACAGTTGTACACTTGAAAATGGCACAAGTAGTGATCATATTATATATGAATTTTTCCTCAATAAAAATAATGTAAATAAACTCAAAAAACTATATGGAGATGTCAGATTTTTCCTCGATACCAGCAAAGATCCGAAAGAATCAACCCGTACTGATTTGCTGAAAATACACACTTTCAGCCCTCAATTCTGAGAATTCTCCTTGATGGAGAACACCTTGGCCATATTTCTCAAAAAAATAGAAAGGACAGGTGATCGAGCTATTTTGCTGTTAGGAATTTATCCCACCATGATAAACACACAAGTGTGAAGGGAGAAATGAGATTGCCAATTGCAGCGTTTCTGTTGGTAGAATAAAATTAATGCCATGTTTCTCCATTAGTAGAAGATGTGTACAGAATCAGCATCCATCTAGGCCATGGGATACTGCACAGTCATGGAGGAGAATGAGGACAGTCTGCACTACTGATGTCAAAGGACCCGTAAGATCCTTTAGGTAGACAAACCAAGGCTCAGAGCAGTGTATGGACATTGGTCACTCCCTGGGAGGGGACTTGGCACCTGAGGACAGACTCTGCTGTTAATTTTGAGCTTTTGGCCACAGGAATATATTACCTGTTCAAAAATATGTAACTTACAAACTATTAGGGGAAAATAAGAAGACGAGGATGGAGAGTTGTCAGGAGACTAATAAGAGGCCTCAAGAGGTGGGCTCTGCCGTGTGAATGCTGTCCTGCTCTCCTTATGGAGCTGAGCTGTGTTGGAGAAGTCTGAGGGGAGTGAGGGACCAATGGGGACAGCTGCTCACAGAGGCCATGGGGGCTGAGGATAGGAGGTACCACTGGGTTCACACACAAGGGCCTCTCTGGTCACCAGAGTGAGTCCAGAGTGAGGCAGGGACCCAGCCCTGCCCTGAGCTGGAAGAGGCCCTGCTCTCTACAGCCCAGGGGAGCTCCTTCCTACCTGTGCTGTCCCTTTGACAGACACCGATTGTTTGGTCCTCTGGAGCACCTAGGACGAGAAGAGTGATTCCTCTTTCAGTGGGAAGGGGGGGGGTGAGATGAGTGTAGGCTTCCCCCCTACCCTGAACCACAGAAATGCAAGAGGGACAGGGTTGGTATCTTTCTAGGTCCCCTACAGCCAGTCACCCAGGAAAAAATCACCAGGCATCACCAGCCTGGACCTTCAGACCCCACCACACCCTCGGGAACCTGGGCGTCCTGGCCCAACACTCACAGGTGACATTCAGCTGGATGGTTGTTTCCGCAGTCACACCAACTGCAGGGAACTTCACCTGACAGGTGAGGTTGGTGCCATGGTCCTGGGGCCGTGGGGTGAGGGTGAGAACTGAGGAGAAGTGGGTCCTGGGGCCCAGGGAGGTGAGGGCAGCTGATGTCCAGGAGAATATGGGGGGTGTGCCCCGCTCACAGGCCCAAGGTACAGAGCAGGTCAGGTTGCTGGGGTGGCCAGACTCCATGATCCCCAGGATGCGGATGTGGGGAGTATGGGTCAGGGCTGGTGAGGAGGTGGGGAGAAATGAGAATCAGGAGGGAGAGTCCTAGGTGTCTAGGACCTACAAGCCTTGGGCTTTGCTTCAGCTTCTCTCTCTGAGCCCCAACACTGTGTAGCTCCCCCATCTTGCCATGAGCAGGGTCCCATCCCAGCTCTGCCCCACTTTCCCCATGTCCTTCCCCTCTGGGGTGACCTGGAGCCCACTCCTTACCCATCACACGCACAGAGAGAGGGTTAGATTTGTAATTCCATTTTGTTCTATTTGTCTCCACCCGAAAGAAGTATTTTCCATTGTCCCTCCTCTTGGCATCTGTGATGTCCAGGGAGCAGTTGTAGGTCTGGGGGTCTCCAAAGAGGTGGAATCGTCCCTGCGTCTCTTCCTGTACTTCACGATCTGGGTCATTTGTGGCCACAGGAGCATCCTGGTATGGATTTGCCCCTTCCTGGAACCAGTAGCCATGAGCTGGGGTAGAATCATTCCAGCCATCCTGGGGGTAGAACACACTGCAGGGCACTCGGACACACAGACCCTCCTGCACCGTCACTGACTCCTGCACTTGCAGCCAGAATATTTCACTCTGAGCCAGGGAAGCTGTAGGGAAATGAGATTAGATAGAGTCCTATCCCACCCTCCCTCTCCCCATTGGCCCACTCACCTGCCCACAGCAGGGGCAGCAGCAGCAGCAGCATCTCTGAGATGGAGGGTTCTGGACGTGCGTCTTGCGTGTGAAAGGAGAAATGGAAGGCAAGTGGGAGGGGATGATTTTGGGGGGCCCAAGTTAAATGGGAGGAGGCCACAACCTTGGCCATTCACAGAAGAGGAAGTGCAGACCAGAACTTGTCCCTCTACACAGAGCGGGTGGACAGCCTGCAGCTCAGACACCCTGAGACCCACCCATGGGGGAGCAGAGAAGGGTAAGTTCACATGTCCTGCCCCCATCACGGGGTTTCCCTTTAGCACCAGAGCCTGGAACAGAACCTGCGAGGACATCTGAGGGGTGGGACATGGTAAATGTCTAAGGACCTCCCATCTGAGGTGCTTTTCTTAGCACCGGTGTCTACATCAAGGAGCAGATCCTGCCAGGTTCAGGATTCTTTAGGGTCTGTGTAAGCATCTAGAACAGAGGACAAGGGGATCTTAGGTGAGGAGAAGGCAGCATCCAATCATTAATTCATCCTTTAATTCATTCTCCAAACACTTAGTGAGCATCCATGTGTTCAGGAGGCTGGAGACAAGAAGGGAGACGACCCTCCTGGTCCATGCCCATGAGATGCTCCCCACTCAGTGGTGTCACTTCCTCCCCGAACACTCAGCCCTGTCACGCTTTACAGTTGCAGCCACTGATGAGTTTGCTGTGTGTCCTGGAAGAATACTGGGTATTTTCTAAAATAGGAGTAGGGTTTTTTTTTTAACTTATTGTGTACTAATTCATGAAATTTTAATGGCATCTCCAAACTAAAATCCATGTAGCCTCTTCAAGTAAAAGAAAATGGAGAACACACGTTCTAGGAGCCAGTGCAGAGGAACTTCTTTTCCCTGAATGCTGCCATTCAGTGTTGGGTGGGCTGGACCAAAGTTTTTTAGATTCTCATAATACAGATTAGCATTTCCTTTCATGTAAAACATCTTCTTGCAGTTACACGTGACTCACAAGACAAAATATTTCCAAAAACATGAGTGGAAGCTACAATTAAAATTTTGGATTCAGCTCACCTGGTTTTGCATCTCACTCCATGTCATGTGCATCTGGGAAATCCTCGACACCTGTGACATAACAGCGTTTGCCACCATCTGTTTGTAAAAAGCTTTTAAATACAGGAGTATCTAGATAACTGTCCCTTCAAACTTATTAACATGGAAAGATTTTACACCCTCTTTATATGTAAGGATTTGAGTCTCCAATAAGTAAAATAATATTTATGTTCTAGATTATTACAGAAGTAAGAATGTGGTATATAATAGAAACCCCAGTACAATTGGTTTCACAGTCTGGAAAGTTATACCATGTTCGTGGACTAGAAGGGCCTCTGAGTTCTCATTGTTTTTCTTTAAATTTTCATAATTAATGTAAAATAGTATGCACCCACTTGCAATTTACATTTCTACAAATTTTGACCATCATATACAACCCAGTTATGTCCACCACAATCAAGATATAGAACATTTTCACTACCCCAAAAGGTTTTCCCACACTTATTTGCAGCTCATCACTCCCACCTCCGCCTCAGGGAACCACTGATATACTCTCTATCTTCGAGAATTAATTTTGTTTACTTGAGAATTTTCTAGAAATGTACTCAGTTGTGACTAGATTCTCTCACTGAGTAGTTTTTGTTTTTGTTTTGGTTTTGGTGAGGAAGATTGGCCCTGAGTTAACATTTGTGCCAATCTTCCTCTGTTTTTTTAATTTGGAAGACTGCCACAGCGTGGCCTGATGGTCAGTCTCTAGGCCCGTGCCTGGAAACTGAACCCACGAACCTCAGGTCAAAGCACAATGGGTGAACTTAACCACTATGCAACCAGGCAAGCCGCAGCATACTGTCTTTGAAATGGATCGAGTTGCATGTTCCACTATGCAGTAGTTCATAATGTCTGATCCTGAGCAGGGTGAGGACCATCAGAGGGGCACAGGTAGGGGAATGCTGGGAGGGTGCGAAGTTCCTGTTTTCACCCCTATCAGGACCCAGACTTTCTGCTGATTCATGACTCTGGGGCTCAGGAAAGCTTGGGGTAGTAACTACAGGAAGTGTCTGGGCACAGTTGGGGTGGGACCCCTGGAGTTCTTGAGGCCACCTACCGAGAGACCAGAATGCTCCAGACAGAAATGTGAGAAAACTCAGAAAGAGGAATAACCTGTCCAAGACTGAAAGTGAAAATCAGCTCAGATGGAGAAAGGCAGAAGCTATTCTTGCAGGGGTGGGTGGGGTTCAGGCTAGGTGCGGGGACAACTACAAAATTTAAAGGAAATGTTATTTCTCCCCAGGTCTTGCAGCAGTTGTAAAATGCCATAAAGACTCCCTCTTTGAGTGATTAATGCTTTCTTATTGATGATGTCCCGACATTGGCTTTGTTATTCCATCTAATTCCTGGGGATACGCATGGCTCAACCACCCTAACCTCAGGACAGCACCCAATCCCTAATTATCACCTGTAGGGGATCAAGAACATAAGTCTGCAGATGGCAGCACACCCTGGAAGGTTCCGGATACCCCTGACCAGCATCTTTGACCTAGGATGTGACCAGACCCTTCCCCAGGCTCCTCCCACTCTGCCTTGGGGACTTGTAAATGGTTGACTCAACAGGGGACTCCATCCACCAGGAGACACTCTGGCTCCTGGGGAGATCCAGTCAAGGGAGATGGTGCTGTCCGTGGTGCTGAAACAGGCTCACCATTGGAACTCGGCTACCTCCTCTTTCTGCAGATGGGCCTGAACTAAGGCTTAAGGTCCCAGTTTGGGGCCAGGAGAGCAACGATATGAGGATGGATAGAGGCAGGTTAGTAGCCGACAATCAGGAGTGGGTGGTGCTGGTCTCCTCTCTCTGTTCCTTCTCCCACCTCTCCTGTTCAGTCTCAAGCATTGTCCCTACTGTGGACGATGTTTATCTGCCCCACCTGGCTGAACCACAGGGCAAGACCAAGCTCTTGCTAAGGATTCCTTTTACTGGCCTCTGTACTTCTCTTTTAAACAGCTTGCTTCATGCCAGCCTCACAAAAACAAAAATAGAAAATCAACAACTCTGAAAGTGAGGAGGCTAGTCTTCACATTTGACAAAGGAGAAAACTGAGTGTCATGATCAGAAACATCAGATACTATGCCTGGATCCCTTTCTCCAATTCTGTCCACCTGTTCCAGTGTTTTTGGGCAGGAGAGAACAGTCTCAGCCCTATTGGGGAAGGTAAGCGCTTCCTGAACACTTATTTCTGCTCCAGTCAATCTCCCTTGCCAGTAGTGTGGAACTCGATTGATATTGTCAAAGGGGCTCTCCCTCCATCTAGGAGAGGAATGCACCTACCTGGTTAGCCTTCTGTTTCTTGATCAGGATTTGGGAAAGGGTGAGACTGAGTGTTCTCACTCTGTTAGGAGAGGACCAAGATGCCCTACCTCCGTATTGTTCCTCCAGCCCTGGGGTCCTAAACCAGCTCACTTTCTTACGACCTTCAAGAGTTATCCTTTGATTGCTTCTTACACCATTTATAGGGTTTATAGTTGTAAAGAGAGAAGAGAAGGAGGGAATAATGGGTCGATGACATCTTATCTGCATTATAAGTCTAGCCACTAACTTTTAATGTTTTCAAGAGATGGATTTACTCACATGACCCACTGACATTATCATAAGCAGAAGTCTAACTCAACTCTCCCTTCTGTGTGTAGGGTAGGGGGAGACAGGGTTAGGTATCAGCATTTTTACACCAGATCCGAATCTTCTATTAGTTTATTTAAGGGTCACTTTATGATCTCATAGCATAAGGCTTTGTCCCTGTTATGGTTTGGTGCTGCTGATGAATTTTGGCCTATTTTTCTTTAAACTGATCTTTATTGAAATTAAAATATTGGGTTTTTAGGAGGAAGATTATGAGATCCTGCTTCCCTCCACCATCTCAACCCAAACATCCATTACTGGGCTGATTCTGAAGGATAAGCGGTGTTAGCCAGATGAAGACATGGTGGTGGGCCTTCCTGGAGGAATGCCATGGATGCACAAAGACAATGAGGAATGCCTTAGAATGGAGGTGTTTAGAGAATGACTTGAGGGATTGATGGTTAGGGTATGGCGATGGGGAAGTAGATAGGGTGAGATGAAGAACAATCTACATTAGAGGTCAGGAAACCACATCCCATGGGCTGCCTGATTTTGTAAATAAAATTTTGTTGGAACACAACCAAATTAATTCATTTGCAGATTTTCTGTGGCTGTTTTTTTAATTAAAAACACAAATTTGAATAGTTTCAACAGAGGCCATACAGCTTCAAAGTCTAAAATATTTGTTATTTGGCCCTTTACATGAAAAGGTTTCCTGACCCCTGACTTAGAATGTCAAGTTGAAAAGCTTGTAAATTATTCCTTTGGGCTGAAGAGAATGAGAAGTATTTTGACTATGATCAGCTCTGAGCGTTAGGGAATTTTCTAAATGTTAATGTCTGATTTGCCTAAACTGGGACTAGTCAGAGGCAGGCAGGATGGAAAGGGAACATCCAGTAGTGGAAAGAGATGATGCTGGAGGCCCAGTCAGGGCAGGATCCACGGGAGGGCTTTGAGTAGAGAGTGAACTGACATGTTGTGATGTGGTGTCTGGGCCAGAACACACCCAGCCTTTGGGTGAAATGTCACTAAGCCTTTCTGTTCAAGGGAGAAGGAAACAGGATGCACCAAACTCTCACAATATACCCGGATTTTTCTAGGTGTTTTCCATTTGCACTTTATTTAAGCCTCACTGCAACTCTGTGAGGTAGGACTTCTTAGCCGCATTTCACAAAGCAGGAAACCAAAACATGAAAGAGTAAGGTGGCTTGCCTGATGTCCTACCCTTAATAAATAAAAGAGCATGGGTTTGATTCCATGTCTCTCTGATTTTGAAGCCTAATATAGTTCTAGTATAGCCGGAAACTCACATACAATAGCTTATAAAACCATTGCCTATTTGGATGTTGAGTCTCTAAGAATCTGCCTTTGGGTCCCCTTCCTGTAAAGAATATGGATGCTCCAGCTGAGACTGACGCTCTGGCTGGTTCTCCCCTGGGTCCTGTAGGTGCCCTCTTGAGGATTCATCCTGTTAAAGCTGAGGGAGGCATAATGAAGCTCCTGCTCCATCTCCAAGGTGGAGGCAATGCCTGCAGAGCTTGTGAGGTCAGCAGAGCTCTCTGACTCGGACTCGTGCTGGTGAACCTGTGTGGAGA